TAGATAGATAGATAGATAGATAGATAGATAGATAGATAGATAGATAGATAGATAGATAGATAGATAGATAGATAGATAGATACTGTAGATAGATAGATGTGGTGGAGGGGTTTAAGTACCCCTATGATCCCGGGGGCTATGTTGTCTGGGGCATTCACTCCTGGTAGGATCTCCCATGGCAAACAGACCTTGGGGGTGGGGGGGCGGGGGGGGTTAGACAAAACTGATTCAGAACCCTTGATGAAATAATGAAACACCAACCACATTAGGAAACTGCCCTGAAAAAGGAAACCGGGGTACCTCTCTGGAACAACACCTGGAGGGAAGCTCGCTGGCGAATACCTGGTGGTTGAGCATTGGCTCCTGCTTGGCCAGGCGAAGGCCGAAAAGACTACATGAGGCCACTTCCACTTGGACCCACCACCCGCAGGGAGGACCATCAAGGTTAGGTGCGATGTATGCTGAGGAGCAGGTGAAGGAGGGTCCCTGGCCATGCTGATTGCTGGCAACTAAAGACTGGCTCTAGGGACCTGGAACGTAACCTTACTTGCGACTCACGGGTAAGGAGTCAGAGCTTGTGGGTGAGTTTGTGTTACCAGCTACAGTATATATAGTTGGGCTCACCTCAACTCACAGCTTGGGCTCTGGAAACTAACTCCTACTCTGGAGTACCCAGGAAGAGAGGAGGCGGGCAAGTGTGGAGATACTCACAAACCCCCGGCTGTGTGCCTCAAGTGTTGGCGTTCACCCTGGTAAATGAGAGGGTTGCCTCTCTGTGGCTTTGTGCTGCAGGAGGGAAGGTTCTGACTATGGTTTGTGCTTATGCACCAAGCATTAGTTCAGAATACTCTGCCTTTTTGGAGTCTTTGGATGGTGTCCCGGAAAGGCTGCCATCTGGAGATTTTCTTGTTCTACTAGGTGACTTCAATGCCCATGTGGGCAATAACCAAGTTATCCAGAAGGTGGTGAATGGGATGAAGGGTCTCCTTGATCTATTAGACTTCTGTGCAAAGCACGGGTTGTTTTAAATCAGACCCAGGCCATTTCAGTATATGGTACTGAATCTGATACTTTTCTGATATTTTTCAAAGTGACAGCAGTGTGAATGCCCATGTCACATTCCATTAAACATTTTCATCAGTGAGGTGGGGGTGAAGGATCAATAAGACACTAACCTCAAGTCATGCTGTTTTAATCTGTAGCTCCATGTGTTTACAGCTCCAAAACAGACGTCCAGTAATTTTTCACTTAGATAGTAAGGTCCAGCCTTGGTCGCGGACCGTCCGTCCATCCATTTTCTTCCGCTTATCTAGGATTGGGTCGCGGGGCCAGCAGCCTAAGCAGAGAGACCCAGACTTCCTTCTCCCCAGCCACTTGGGCCAGCTCGTCCAGGGGAATCCTAAGGTGTTCCCAGGCCAGCTGAGAAACATAGTCCCTCCAGCATGTCCTGGGTCTTCCTCTGGGCCTCCTCCTAGTAGGACGTGCCCGGAACACCTCACCAGGGAGGCGTCCAGGAGGCATCCTAACCAGATGCCCGAGCCACCTCAACTGGCTCCTCTTGACGTGGAGGAGCAGCAGCTCTACTCTAAGTCCTTCTCAGATGACTGAGCTTCTCACTCTACCTCTAAGGGAGCCTAAGGTGGTCACGGATCATATCAATCCTAAAGTTACTTGGTTGCTACTTTAGTTCCAGCTCGTTGCTTCGTTCCAAAAATAAAATGCTTCACCAGAGCATCCCGGACAGAGGCAGGTTCAGATATAAACTCTGAACTAAACAAGCATGTCAGATAATTATTTAATCGGCTCTGATTAATCAATAATTTCAAATTTGGCATGCTAAAAGTAGCATCCATGCTAACTGTAAACAAACAAGTCAGCTGAATGAGACATCAAGTCTTTTACTGTGCATGCAGGTCACATCAGTGCTGTGTAGCATTCACACTGGAGTCTGATGCAGGTCGCATTAAAAATGCAATGTAAACATTCACACCAAAAGATCCGATTTTTAAAAAAAAAATCTGAATTAAGCATTAAGACCTGCAGTGTGAACGTAGCCCATGTTTGAGCATAGGGTGGTTCATAAGTGTACTTGGTTGATGATCGATTTTGTAATCGTGAAGAAAGAGGCCTTCCGGACTTGGCTCTCCTGGAGGACTTCTGAAGCAGCTGACAAGTACATCGTGGCCAAGAGGGTTGCAGCTGCAAAAACTCGGGCATGGGAGGAATTACAGGAGGCCATGGAGAAAGACTTTTGGTTGGCCTCAAGCAGGTTTTGGCAAACCGTTCAGAGGTCACTGAGGTAGTCAAAAAAAAACTCCACCAGGGGTGGATGAGATTTGCCTCGGGATGCTGAAGGCTCTGGATGTTGTTGGGCTGTCATGGCAGACAAGTCTCTTCAACATCACATGGAGGACTGGGACAATTCTTGTGGATTGGCAGACCTGTTGGGTGGTTCCCATTTTTAAAAAGGGGGATCAGAGAGTGTGTTCTCACTGTCGTGGGTTCCCACTTCTTGCCCTCCCTGGGAAAGTTTATTCCAGGGTGTTGGAAAGGAGGCTCCGATAGATTGTCGAATTTCAGATTCAAGAGGAGCAGTGTGACTTCAGTCCTGGGCATGGAACAGTGGACCAGATCTTTACCCTTGCAGAGTTGCTAAGGGAGTCATGGGAGTTTGCCTCTCTGGTCTACATGTGTTTTGAATGTTTATGACTGTGTTCCTCAAGGCATTCTGTGGGGGGTGCTGTGGGAATATGGAGCGTCTGGGTTGCTATTAAGGGCAATCCAGTTCCTGTATAACTAAAGCAGAAGCTGTGTTCGCATACTTGGCACAAAGTCAAGCTTGTTCTCAGTGTGTGTTGGACTCCAGAGCTGTCCCTTGTCTCCGATCCTGTTTGTAGTGTTTATGGACAGGATCTCAAGGTGCTATCATGGAGAGGAGGGTATCTGGTTTGGGAACCACGGGGTCTCATCTTTGTTGTATGCAGATAATATGGTTCTGTTGGCATCTTCAGACCAGGATTTTTAGCATGCACTGGGGTAGTTTGAAGCCTTTTACCTACAGATACTCCTTTGGGAGTTTAACTTTCAGCTACTGTTTTGGTTGTTCTGGTTTTCATCTATAGTTGTGCTTGTTTTTGCTACGGTTTTGGTAATTTTCAACTACGATTCAGATAGTCTTAGCTTACTGCTACTCTTTTGCTACCTTTAGTTTTTAACAATTGCTTTGCTAATTTTAGCTTTCAGCTGATGTTGTGATAATTTTAGCATTCAACTACTTATTTGCTCATTTTAGTAATTGTTTTGCTAGTTTTAGCTTTCAGGTATTGTTTTCTGTGTTTTGCTATAGACTTAAACTGCTGGAGGACGACAAACAGACCACATTTTCTCACTTTGCTGTTGTTTTAGTCACTCTCCTCTACATGTTTGTTGCAATTATTTCTATCAGTAATATGTGTTTTCCTTTAGGCTCTCTTACAGTGGAAAATACACCTGGACCAGATATTTTGTGTGCCCCCCCCCCCCAAAACCCAGTTGGTTGAGGCAGATGGATGCTTGTCCTGAGCCTGGTTCTGATGGAGGTTCCTTCCTGTTAAAACAGTGTTTTTCATTCCCACCGTCACCAATGTGCTGCTCAGGATGGTAGACTCTGATGAAGTGAAGATTCAACACAATGTGCTGGCTTTTTTAGATTGATTTGTGTTTTGTTTTTGTACAGTGCTTGAGATGTTTGTTGTGACTTGGAACTATGTAAATAAAAGGAATTGAATTGTTTTAGCTGCTGTTTTGCTATTAGTAAACTGCTCTCTTTTTTCTAGTTTTAGTCTTTAGCAATTGCTTTGCTAATTTTGCATTTGTCTTGATTATTTTAACTGTTCAGTTTCAGTCTCTTTAACAATTTAAGAATCCATTCTATCCCATCCATTTTCTGTACACGCTTCTTCCTTTTCAGGGTTGCGTGGGTCACTGGTGCCCATGTTGTATAATTTAAGAATCGTTCCTCAAAATTCAGCAGTCACACAGTATTTTCACAGAAAATTATAATTTTCCTGTCCTCATTCCTTTCTTTAAACTGATTTTAAGAAAATATTAACCTTTGGTTGACGTGTTGAAGACCAAGCAAGTGTGACTTTAACCGTCTCTTGGTTTTAACTAACTCAAATTTCTCAGAAAAATCTTGTTTTTATAGTCAGCTGATGCAAACAGCAGAGCAACACTATGACTTTACCTTGTCAATGGTGCGGAGGGCGACAGTGTAGTTGTTCATATAGTTGGTGTAGACCCTCAGTTTGGAGCACAACTTAACAAAAACATCTCCAACACACTGATCTGCAGTCCACTGCTCCAGCCTATTCTGTAAATCTGCCTGAAACACACTGCAACAAATGACAGAACTCACTCTGGTCCTTAGAGCAGGAAAAAACGGGGACCATGTGTGTGTGTGTGTGTGTGTGTGTGTGTGTGTGTGTGTGTGTGTGTGTGTGTGTGTGTGTGTGTGTGTGTACCTGTTCAACAGCTGTATTACTGAAACTTGGTTGAAGATTATTTGGATGTCAGCATAGCTGAGAATGGCTCTGTTGGAGTTCAGAGCTGCTTTCAGAGGCTCCTGATACACCTGCAACACATCAGTGAAATTTATTTACCCATTTTGACTTGATTCTTGCCCCGAGGCCTCAAACATTCCATAAAATGGAATTAAAATTGTCTTTTTATGTGAATCATGATAAAAACGGACCATTTTTAGTTGAACTGATTTTTTTAACACAAAGTTAAAAAATCTGAGATTTACCTCCAGGATGGAGCGCAATCTGCTCAGATAAAGACCCTCGCTGTGGTGCAGCTCTCTCACAACACAACCTCTCCAATCTAAAGACGTCTGTGAAAGAAAATGTTCTTAATTTCTTAAATATTCCATTTTAATTTAGTCAGATAAAGTGACTGTACAAAAAACAAACCTGTGGCTGCTCCGATAAAAAACTTGAAAAAGACTGGGAATCCTTTTTAAATGAAGAAAAATCTTCTCCTTTCTTTTCCTCCTCACTCCGCAGCAGCAGGAAGGAGGACAGAAACTCCAAAGGTCTGGTTTGAAGCTGTGGGCAGATATACAAGCACACACAGCTGAGCAAACTTCCTGCACTCTGCTGCTTTTCTTTATTTTAAAAAAGTACAGTGCAATTACAGTTTCAGCAATTTTACAATCTAACTACCAGTGGTGGACACTAGTCCCCTAAAGCACTACAATGCTAATTGCGGACCTAAATTTCTCGTTTGCGCTTTAGGGGTTTGTGGATTTGCACATTCTAAATTTTAAAATTCAGTAGCGCTAATTTAGTTATTTCATCAACTGTTGATCATCATTATCTTTAACAGCAGAGGGAGAAAGTCATCTCCAGTAAATACAATGCAGAACTATTTTGAGTTAAAGGTGCCCCCTCCAATGTCTGTTTGTTCTCCACAGCTATAGCTCAGTGGTTCCCAAACTTTTTTAGACTTTGGTGCACTGGTGGGCTGCGGGTCTCATGAGCTGGGAGGTTGGGCTGGCTGGGGACATGGCCGGTGGCCCGTGGAAGGGGATAGGCCAACCCAGCCTGGGTGTCTAGCATGCTATATGTTCTGTGAGTTGTCTGAATGATGGGGTAGGTATAGTATTTCTTCTGGGGTGGGGGCTGGGTGGGTGGCATTGGTGGCAGCCGGGAACTGTGCTGGGTCGGCTGGCTGGCCTCTTTGTTGTGGTGGAGGTTCGCTCTTGGTCCCTCCTTGCGCTGTCGGCGGCTGGGTGTGCGCTCTCGGCTGAATCATTCTTGCTGGGGTTCGGTGGCCTCTTTGGTTTGCGGGCTGGCTGTGGGACTGGGGGTCGGGTCTTGGGCGTCTGGATGGCCCTGGGATGGGTGGACTGCTGGTTCCGGTTTCTGGCAGTTGGTCTCATCTGACCAGACTATATTCTCCCAGTATTACACAGGCTTGTCTAAATGTTGTGCAGCAAACTTTAAAGGAGCTTCAACATGCTGTTTCTTCAGCAGTGGAGTCTTGCGTGGTGAGCATGCATACAGGCCATGGTGGTTCAGTGCATTACTTATTGTTTTCTTTGAAACAATCGTACCTGCTAATTCCAGGTCTTTCTGAAGCTCTCCACAAGTGGTCCTTGGCTCTTGGACAACTCTTCTGATAATTCTTTTCACTCCTCTGTCAGAAATCTTGTGAGGAGCACCTGGTCGTGGTCGGTTTATGGTGAAATGATGTTCTTTCCACTTCTGAATTATGGCCCCACCAGTGCTCACTGGAACCTTCAGAAGTTTAGACATTCTTCTGTAACCGATGCCATCATTATGCTTTGCAACAATAAGGTTGTGAAGGTCTTGAGAGAGCTCTTTACTTTTACCCATCATCAGATGGTTCTTGTGTGATACCTGGCCATCATTTGGGACTGAACCAGCTGATATTAACTTGCACTGACAAGGGGCAGGCTTGTTTTCAAATTACTGAGAGAGTTCAGCTGGTGTCTTGGCTTTCCATGCCTTTTAACACCTCCCTTTCTTCATGCGTTCAATATTTTTTYCCTGTGCCATTCCACATTATTACAAATAACTTCATTTCTGGACATTTATGGTTTGATTTCTTTGTATGTATGGATCACTTGGGTTGTTACCGACATCTGGTGAAAATTTCACATCATTAGCACCTCTAGTAATATATTTACTGAGAAAAATGGTGACATGTTCAATACTTATTTTACCCTCTGTATTGTATATAGGTATACCTTTCAGCAAGATTATAATCATTATTGTTATATACATTTTTGTTGCTGTGTTTTTGTTATCTCTGTTTCTGTAGGTGTGCAGCCATGATGTTGGGTGTGTTGTCTTGTGTTTTCTATATATATTTCATGTCTTCGAATCTCTCTTTCACTCTTTCCCATTACATTTCACTTTTTTTCTTCTATGTCTTTTTCTTCATTAAAAAAATTCACTGATGATGAAGAAACTAATATTCAGTTCTGCTTTCTACTGAAGTGGCTAAAAAAAGGAACTGTCCAAGTGACTGAAAATGCTGGAATGTTTCAGGACTTTAACCAGTGTGAAGGACTAAAGGAACTGTCCAGGGTCCTGAAAGTGCTGGAATGTTTTAGGACTTTACACTAGTGGTTCCCAACCATTTTAGACTTGTGTACCCCCTGAGCCCTTTTGTCATACCACTAGTACACCTTCAGTCAAATGTAATGATGATTTTCCAAAACTATAATGGACAACAGCTGATTATTAAATGAAAATTATTTATTTAACCCCTAGAACATTCAATTCTCAGGCATTTTTTTTCAACTCAAATTAAACATAAAAATAAAAATGTTGCCTTGAACGTGAATAAGTAATTAAATAAATAAACCACGTAATGGTGGGTGCAGAAAACAGCAGCGTCCAAAATACATTGTATTGTGCAAAACACATCAGAAACTCACCAAAATGAACAAATTCCATGAGATTCCACATTTTATACTGGATTCCATTTTGTATTAATTTCATGATTCCCACTGCAATTTCCACATTGCGGAAATCATCAGGCCCTACATCTCTCAGACCTGTTTTTATTAATTTTTTACACACCTGGTAAATTTGTCCACGCATCCCCTGTAAAATACTTGTGTACCCCAAGGGGTACAAGTACCCCTGGCTGGGAATCATTGCTCTAGCTGACTGTCCTTCTGGGTCACAGTTTTCATTTAAGAGACAATTCCCACAAGGTGTGAAAGAACACACATCTTCTACTCTTTCGCTACCGTTAGTTTTTAACAATTGTTTTGCTAATTTTTGCTTTCAGCTGCTGTTGTGATAATTGTAGCACCAGTTTTGGCCTACTTTTTGCTTTTATCGACCATTTTGCTCCTTTTACCATTTTAGCTAGTGTTCTGCTTGAACTCAGTTTCAGCTTCTTCAGTAAATGTCCTCAATTTTGTATCACTTAGCATTCACACTATTTTCACAAAGGTAACTCTGTTAGTTCAAATAAATTTGTACCTCTTTTTGTTCAGTAAGAGCTGTGAGTCCTTCTGTCAGAGCCTCACTCAGTTCTCTGGACACACAGATCTTATCCAAGCAGATTTTCTCCCACAGAAAATGACCTATAAAATACAGAAGTGTGGTTTTTAATTTGTTATAAAAGGAGCTGCATTTTTATTCAACCTAGGGCTGGGCGATAAAGCAAAAAATAAAAAATAAAAATAAATAGCACAATGTAATGAAACAATATGAAAAAAGTATTTTTTCATTTCGTCCAATCTTGATTATTATCACAATTATTTTGTTAACCTAAAAAGTGTGTAATTATAAAGTGACTGATAAATAATTTAACAAATAAATAGTTACAGAAATAAAAAAAATGTGTGATTCTTTCCACGTTTCATTAGCAATTTATAAATGGAAGGGAAGTTGGATTCTGATTGGCTGTCATGCACATTTCCACCATGTTTGATAGAGTCAAGAGGCTCATGGCTGATCAACCTGAAATTTTTCTCAATCAATAATCACAATCAAATCTCAAATCACACCCAGCCCTAGCTCAACCTAAACCTACCCAGAGCTCGGCCTCTGGCCTGCAGGCTGCTCTGCTGCAGCTGCACCTCCAGAGTTCTCCTCAGCTCCTGTAGGGCCTCCTCCATCCACTGAGCCTGTCTGCACCAGGCCTGCAGTACATCATCACTCACATACTGCAGCACCGGAGCAGCTGGGTACTGGTCCAAGAGTGCAGCACCAAAGTCACCACCAGACCACTCACTGAGAACTAAATGGGGATTAAAAACTTTGTCATGTTTTTCAAACAGCAGCTAGAAAACAACTATTAGGTATTAATTACTCTGCACTCCAGTTTACTCAATGTTAACACTTTGATGGTTACTAACTTTCTAGTAAATGTCTCATCCATCAAAAACATTGTAAATGTTAAAAAGCTACAATTTTATTAACTTACTTCAATTTTTTGTTGAAATGAATTGAATTAAATTGAATGTGTAAATGTTCTGTATGATCAGAAGAACCATCAGGGGTTTAAATACAGTCAAAGTGACGGTGCTGGGACTTTTACAAAAAGACACCTGAAAGTCGTGGTCAGGCCTTTGGGATGTTTAACTGGGAGCAACACCACACAAGGTAAACCACATGGCTGACGTAAACAAAACAAAGTTGATTTGCTTTCATGATCCAAATGTGATCCACACGGTCAGCAAAATATTATCAATTACAGGATCTGTATCAAACAGTAGAAGATTTCAGTTTTTTTTTTGTTTTGTCTCTGTTGCACATTAATGCTGTTGGTTAAGAGACACAGTAAATTTAGGCTTAGCCATCCTGCTTCCCTTGCATCTGAATGACCCACATGGTCTTAAAATTACCCACAATTTTTAAAAATGAGGACTTTTGGGTCGTTGCATCATCTGGCTGACTCATATGAAAAGCCTCCACTGATTACAAACCCACTCTTAAGATTTGACCAAAGCAGCTACAACTTTGTCATTTTTCAACGTATAATTAAAACGCTGTTATGAAAAGCACTGGGTCATACAAATTCCCTTAAGAAGTGCTAGACAACAAAATAAAAAAGTAACAATTAATACTGATTAGACAACAGTCATAAAAAGATTGCTTTAAACAGTCTTATGAAGCTAACGCCTCCTTTAACACAGGTTCTCTATTTTTATTTATTAATGATGATCTAAATTTAGTTTTAAAATAATTCTAACTCACTGTTCTGGAAACTTCCTGTGGCAAGACCCGCCGGTGATCGAACCTGCAGACCTGTCAGAGTAGACAGGCTGTGCAGAAGAGTCACGCCTGATGCTGTGAAGAGTCAACAAACAGGGAGACACTTTAGCCCTGTTTTACAGAATAGTGCACGTGTGTGCTTTAGTGTGTGAGCTACCTGACGCAGCCAGCGGGCAGAAGATGTCAATCCCACCTCCTTCCTGAGTTGGTGTCACCTGGATGCACAGTTTTTCCCAGAATTCCCTGTGTTCAGGGGTCAGCAGAGTCTTTTCTGACAGGCTATAATCTGAAGGTTTAAAAATATTTTAAGATGTTTTTTTTTAAACTAAAGGTTTAAAAAGGGCCACATTCAGGCTGTTTGTCCATTTATTTTTAAAGGGCCAGCATTATGTGTTTCTCAGGCACGTAGTTCAGTTCTATATCTTAATGCTCGATTCAGATTTTTTTGAAAAAATCTGATTTTTGGTGTGAACGTTCATATGACATTTTAAACGCGACATGTGACACGCATGCACAGTAAAGACATGCCGTCTCATTAGCCGGATTATTTGTTTGTTTACAGAGTTAGCATGGATGCTATTTTTAGCATGTCGAATCTGAAGTTGTTGTTTAATCTCAGAGCCGATTAAATAATTACCTGACGTGCTTCTTTAGTTCAGTGATTATATCTGAACCTGCCTCTGACCGGGATGCTCCGGTGAAGCTTTTTATTTTTGGAACGAAACAACGAGCTGGAAATAAAGTATCGACCGACTAACTTTAGGATCGATACAAATTGATACGATACGATATGAAAAATTAAAAGTAAAAGGACAAAGCAACTGGACTTCTGTTCTGGAGCTGTAAACACATGGAACAACAGATTCAAACAGCGTGACTTGAGGTTAGTGTCTTATCGATCCTTCACCCCCTCCTCCTGATGAAAAGGTCAGATGAATGTGACATGAGCGTTTAGACTGCAGTCACTTTGAAAACATCAAGGGCCTGATTTATAAAGCTTGAGTACACACAAAACGAGCCCAGAAACTTGCGTATGCCACTTTTCATGCAAAGGTTGTGGTTTATAAAACTCAAACTTGACGTGAAAATGTGTGGTGCCTCACGCCAGCTCTGAGCCATGCGTACGCTCATTTTGGAGATGGGAAACTGCGACACAGATGGTGAAGTGAGGAATTATAGCCACACTGTGTAATGATCACTGTCAGATATTTAATTTCACTTCATAATCAGACTTAGATTTTTATTCAACTTTATCATCAGCTTTCTTAACAGTATTATTTATGCTTCTGCTGCTGCTGAGCCATGAGGACCTTTGAAAAAAAAAAACAACCCTTAAATCTTAAATAAAAGTTCACACATCTCCATTCATCTCACTCCTCCTAAGATGACCCTGACCCACAGACCCCACCCTGACAAGAGACGTTTCAGAGAAGCACAACAGCAAAAATCACGCTTGGGTACTCGCGCAGGGCACGCCCACCCTCACCAGTGTGGATGTTAGAAAAGGTTCACTTTCTAAAGTGCATATTTCTCACATGTGTGCGGGACTGTGGGGATGTGAGAGGGTGAGGAGACGAGCAGCTGCATAAGGGCGTAAATCCCGGGGAGCCTGACCCCCCCCCCCCCCACCCCAACCTTGGAAAACCCCAAATTGGACCCCCCCCCATAATGAATTTCATAAATATATAATTTTAAGTAAAGCCATACTACCAAGAAAAAGCAACTACATTACTATGACCCCCGCACTCAAAGCCAAAGTTACCTTCAGTTGTAATGAAAACAGACCATGGGCTAGGGTTGATCACTGTGCACGTGCCCCCCACCCCCCCCAAGCTACTGAACTTCTCTGGTATTGTCATGTACCCTAGGGTCCACTTTTTTAGACAAAGCATGTTAACAGAAGAAAAGCTGCGTCATAACTTATCATTATATTGTTTCCCATTGTATTATAATGTATCGTACTTTTTGGTAAAGCCTACAGTTAGGGTCGGCTTAGGTTAGACCTCTAAAGGACAAACTGACTACATTTCCCCATTCTGCTGCTGTCTTTATTTGAATTCCAAATTTTTACAATGAAAGAAATCATTAAATTTGTTTTAAAGCAAGCAGCAAAAGCTAATGAAGTCTCACCATCAAGGATGTGAATTTCCTCTGTTCCTCCTGGAGCTAGCAGGCCGACTCTTTGAACTGGCTGCCCTGAAACGGCTCTCTCCAACTGGATTAACAGAGCTGGAAGAGTCCCTCTGTGGTCATACAGGACCACAATCACTCCGGTTTTCACACCACTCAGAACCAGCTGGATTAAAGGAAATAATAAGAGGAGAACTATTGATTTAGAGTTTGGCTGTTTGCTTCCCTCTTCATAAGAATAAACAAACATTGTTTTTACCTCGTAAGCTGGAGTTTTGTTGGAGATGAGCAGTAGAAAGGGAGCAGGATTACAGTTAAAGACCGTCTGAGGTGCATCTCTGGAGGTGAAGGATGACAAAACTTCTTTGGCTTTACACAGACTTTCACTGAAAGAAAAATTGAATCACTGCATATCAGAGTACACCTTCAAGTTAAATATTATGCAATTTAATGTCTGACAGGTAGGATAAGATGTGAGCAAAGAAGCAAAAGTATATGTCAATATACAGTATATAGTATATGATTAGCACCCACTAAAGTGTGTGTGTGTGTGTGCGTGCGTGCGTGCGTGCGTGCGTGCGTGTGTATGTGTGTGTTGGTCTGGTAGCAAAATATCTCAAGAATCACAGGACAAATTTTTGTAAAACACATAAAGTACTGTAGTTATTCAAGTATAAAATGATCATCATTTTTTGAGCTTAAAAAGCATAAAAAATGTAATCACCATGTATGAAGCCACCACTCATTTCAGACACTCCTTTGCATTGTGCCCTCTGTTGGGGAAACATGTTTGGGGAGACACTTGTGTGGGTGTGTTTTACCGCAGAGGTGCGAAGGATGAGCAACAGAAGTACAGGAGGCATCCTATTCAGATGCCGCACAACCGCAACTGACTCCTTTCTATGCGGAGGAGAAGCTGCTCTACTCTGAGCTCCCCCTGGATGACAGAACTCCTCACCCTATTTCTAAGGCTGAGCCAGACCACCCTACGAAGGAAGTTCATTTCGGCCACTTGTATCTGGGATCTCGTTCATTAGGTCAGGATTCACACCTCATGATTATATATGAGGGTTGAAACGTAGACAGACCAGTAAATCGAGAGCTTTGCCTTTTGACTCTACAATTTCTTCACCACAACTGACCAAAGCAACACCCTCAACACTGAGGATGGGACCCCAATCCGTCGATCCATCTCCCTTTCCATCCTTCCATCACTCGTGAACAAGACATCCAGATACTTAAACTCCTCCACTTGAGGCAGAGACTCTCCTCCGACCCGGAGGGGGCATTCCACCCGATCAAGAACCATGGCCTCAGACTTAGAAGAACTGACTCTCATCCCAGCCAATTCACACTCTGCCGCAAATCACCCCAGTGCACAATGAAGGTCTTGGCCTGAAGATGCCAACAGAACCACATCATCTGCATACAGCAGAGATCAGGCTCTGTGGTTCCTAAACCAGACACCCTCATCTACATGATTGTGCCTTGAGATCCTGTCAATAAACATTAAAAAGAAGATCGGAGACAAGGGAGAGCCCTGGTGGGGTCCAAGAACAAGTTTGACTTTATGCCAATTATGCGAACACAGCTCCTGCTTTGGTTATACAGGGACTGGATTGCTCTTAATAGCAATCCAGACACTCCATACTCCCACAGCAACCCCCACAGAAAACACATGTGGACCAGAAAGGCAAACTCCCACAACCCCCTTAGCAAATCCATAATGGTAAATATTTTGTCCTCTGTTCCACAAACAGGACAGAAGCAACACTGCTAATCTTCAATCAAAGCTTTGATGATCGATCTGAGCCTCCCTTCCAACACCTTGGAGTAAAATTTCTCGGAGAGTTTGAGATTTATGATCCAGGATAGTTAGAACACACTCTCCGGTTCCACGTTTTAAAATATGAATCACCACTCCGGTCTGCCGCTCCACAGGAGTTGTCCCAGTCCACCATGCGATGTTGAAGAGATGTGTCAAACATGACAACCCCAGAACATCCAGAACCTTCAGCATCTTAGGACGAATCTCATCCACGCATGGTGACCTGCCACCGAAGAGTTTTTGGACTATCTTGGTGACCTCTGCCATGGTAATGGACTCATCTTCCACAGAGTCAAAAGACTCTTCCTCCTCAAAATTGGGCACGGAGCATGTTTTGAGGAGATCTTCAAAGTGTTCCATCCACCATTCAACAATATCGTTAGTCCGGGTTAGCACTTCCCCACGCAAACCAACTACAGCCTGGGAGGCTGAATACTTTTCTGCTGAGCTTCCAGGACCGGTTTCAACTGATCAGATCTGTTCCTTTTATTACCTGGAACAGATCCATCAGGTGGGTTTCTGAATTTTATGCATTATTGCAGAAATATCGCCCGCCAGTGGTTCAGGGGGCAGGCTGTTATAAAACCCAGTGCTGAGCTTCCAGGACTGGTTTTACCTGTCCAGATCTGTTCCTTTTATTGCCTGGAAGTGATCCATCAGGTGGGTTTCTGAATTTTATGCAGTTTTGCAGAAATATCGCCCGCCAGGGGTTTCTGGCTAAATCCACGTGGGAAAACGGGTGCTGGACGTAGGACCGCGGTTCCACCTCACTGGATCTCTTCCTTTTATTCCCCTTCATCAGTACAAGCAGCCCCGTGCTGGAAATCAGCCGCTTCATCTGCCGGAGCTCGCCTGATGACTTTTGATCGCTTATATCTCCACAGGGAACATCTGATGAACTTGCAACCGCCTCCAGGTTATAGTGGAAATCCAGAGCTTTAAAACGAGCCACGTTCCGCCTGGATCCGACGCACAGAGCCGGCGCTAGAGGCTCCGTAGTACATTGAGTACCATATCGCCCGCCAAAGCGACTTTTTCGTCTGGTCGTTGATTAATAGCTCTGTGGGGGAACGTTCCAGGAACCTGCAACCACCTCCAGTTTGTAGAGGAGGACGGTAGCTTTCCAAAGTCATCTCACTTTCCTGGATCCGATGCTCAGAGCCCGCAGGAGAAGCAAACAAAGATTGAGAATTCCTCCGGAAAATGCACGTAAAATGCACTAAGTCGTGCGTAATTTGCTTATAGCTCCGCGGGGGAACATCACAGAGACTCCATTCAAGTATCAGCTTGTAGGGCAGAACCAGAGCTTTAAAACCCGACCAGACACTCTGGGATCTGATCCTCCTATAGGAGGGGGGCTAAAACCACCCCTTGCGGGGGTCCAACGGTGCGTAATTTTGAGTTTTTTTGCTTATATCTCCGCGGAAGAACATCGCATGGACTCCAATCAACTTTCTCCTTGTAGGGCACAGCCAGGGCTTTAAAACCTGATCAGCCATGCCGAGATCCGATGCTCCTAGCCCGGGAGGGGGGGGCTATAACCACCCTGGTGGGAGGTCAAATGGAGCATATTTTGGAGGTTTTTTGCTTATATCTCCACGGGGGGACGTCATAGGGACTTCATTCAACTTTCACCTTGTAGGGAAGAACCAGAGCTTTCAAAGCTTTCAAATAGAGACCAGCCATTCTGGGATCTGATGTTCAGAGCCGGCTCTAGAGGCTCCACAGCAAGGTTGCACTTCGCGGGCACCTGGGAACCAGCTGGGCACCCCTGATGTACAGTATATGTAAAATGCTGCCCACTAGTGGTGTATGAACCCTAGTACAGCTCATTTTACAAACACCGATTGCTGGGGATCTGATTTCCTGAAACAAAACTTTGGCTCATGGTGTAAATATTAAAAACTTGTTGAGGCTTGCTAGTTCGGCTGCTTCTGCAAAAAGTTGTTGACGATTGCTAGCTCGGCTGCTTCTTTTTATTTTTCTTTTGTTTGTTGTAGATTTTTCATTAAAGAAGCATCAATAAAGTAATTTTAAAACTGTTTACTGGAAAACTGAAGTGATGCATTCTGGGTACATTTGTGACAGGAAACGAAAGCACCGAGAATAGGAAACTAGTATCTTCCCTTCAAAATAAGAGCTTGGATTTTAGTTTTCCTTGTTTCCATTGGATTCCAGTTCACCTGAAACTCATCAGACTGAAGAAGTCTCTTGGAGGAGAGATGAAACGTTTCACTAAAGAAGAACCCGTCCAGAGGACCTACTTGTTTTTTCTTTTTGATTTTTTTCTACCTGGATTATTGAGATGCATCAGGACGTTTTCCATGTAGTTGCAGCTGCTCCAGTTGACCACTAGACGTCAGTCTTCATCAGTTTAAATCTATAACCCTGTTGCTAAGACCAATTACGTCAAGTATTGAGCTCCAGCATTTAAACTTTATTTCCGATTGTAAAGTAAAATAAATCAATACATATAAAATTTAGTATGGATTACAAACGTTTACTGTTTTTGCTGGGAAAGGGAGTTCTAAACATTGCCTTCCTGCTACGTAAGCAGACACAAAGCATTGTGGGAAATGTCTGTAAACTGTGGATCCCTACTGGCTACTGAATATAATCTTTTGCACTGTGTTTATTATAATTTAATAGAAGCCATATGAGTAATTTAGATCGCTGCCAGCAAAAATACTTTGCAAAGCTGACCTACTAAAATGAGAACCGACTGAACCGTGACCCAAAGCGACAGTCAGTAAGGACGTATACCTTCCCAATAATAGAGTTTAACTGGGAGGGGAACTGTTGGATGGATCACATGTGTTGTGAGTCCTGACAGCCATACCCTCTGCTGGTCAAGATAATGATGACCAGCAGATAATTAGTTATTAGCGGAACTGCAATTTAAATTTAAAAAGCACAACTCTGCTTATGAATTTTAAAAATTAGTAAGACCGCTAAAGTGCAAATATAATGTTTAGGTCCGCAATTAGCGGATTTGCACTTTAGCGTACTGGTGCCCATCACTGGAACCCTCCCTCCTGCAGCACAAAGTCACAGAAAAGCAACCATCTTGTTTGATACAAGGATTAAATATGTTACAGGAAGACAATCACCTGTTAATCCTGGATGTCTGTCTCACCAAGTGCTGATCTCCATCCACAGTTTGACTCTTGTTCAAGCTGAAAAAAGTGCTGGAGGACTGAGCCGTCTTTGAATGCCAAGTCAGAGAGGGCCAAGAACTGGACGTTAACCCAGGACTGAACCTTCCTGCATGCACGCGTCCACCTCTGGATCCTTCAGATTTTATGTAGCTGCCCCATGGTCTCCTGTTCGTCATGGACAACCCTGCAGATATTGCAGATCTTAATGTAGACGTGATCAGGAAAGCATGACGATAAACCATGATTAGAGGATTACCTAACTGTAAGATGAAGACAGTGGAAAGAGCAGGGTTCGACAAATACCACGGCCTGAATGCCCGGGGCAGGTAAAACGCATTTGGGCAGGTGGGTACCTGTACAACCAGGCAGGTAAACCATTTCTTAAATTTTTTTTATAGGGCCATTTCCTTGAAATATTCTGAAAATAAATGAAGTAATAAAGCATTTTGAAACACCTATACAGAGAATAAATGCTCAAAATTTCCTCCTGCTGTAGAAAAGTTACATTGCGCATAAATGAAATAGGTATTGTGTCGCAGGATCGTAATTCCCCCTCCAGCTATGTCGCACAAAACGAAGCATTAACAACCACAGTTTTTGTCATCCTAAATGTCTTGGCTTTTATTTAGTAATGCGCAGAGATGAAAAAAAGATGTGGACATTCATTCAGTCATAAGTCCATCTTGTAACAGTCAGCTTCTGCTCTGAGAGTGCAGCAGCAGCAGATCATTTCAGCAACAGGTGGAAGCTCACTGTATGGCAGGCCAATATTATATTTATTTGGCTTCAACACGCTTACATTCCAGATAACTGAAATTGTGTTATGACTAGACACATTAGTTATTTAAGATAAAATAACAAAATAATACTGTTTTTTGTTTTATTTTATTTTAGTGCTGGGCATGTTAACGTATTATTATCACATTATAGCAGCCGACGCTTAAAGGTAATTTTTTAACACGTGTTAACGCAGTTATTTATTGATTTACTGTATATTTCACAGTCAAATTTCTCTGTTCACCGGGCAGCTAACACACACACACACACACACACACACACACACACACACACACAC